GCCAGGGCCCCACCGACGGCGCCCACGACCCCGCCGACGGCGAGACCGTCGAGATGGCAATTTTTTGGGCGGGAGTTACCCTTTTAAACTCCGAAATTCGATTCCTAGTTCATATTTTCCCCCAAAAACGAAGTGAAACTCTACCAATTTCATTCCTATGGCGTTCAATTCCCCTGATAATCCCAGAATGCGAGTTTTCAATCGGCAAAAATTTATTAGTGCGGAAGCGCAGCGAATCTTCAACAAGTTACTGACGAAGAAAAGATTGCTCAAGGAACGAGGATTTGTAAATCGCGGATTGAATAATCCCTCGACGGCAATTGAAGAGACGATAGTGCGGCGAAGATGGGAAGTGCTGTGCTACACTACCGCCGTCGTGATTGTTCTTGTGGTAAAAGAATTTTATGCAAATTCCCATTCTGTAGCATGTTTTATAAATTTCTAAAAAGGATATAGCAATTTCTAGTTCTGATACTGATAATGTTTGCCTGGAATTTTTTAACGTCTAATTCCAATATATTAAGCAGTTTCATGGTCTTATATGCAGCAACGAATCAGTACATTTAATTTCATCTCCATCTTGCTATATAATTTCATGCAGATAGCAGGGAAGATTAACCAATTAATTAGAGAATTGGGACTTAGAGAAATTGGGAAACTGGAACAAGACCTCGTTTTTGGAGATGCAGGGACGAAAGACTTGATCAATTTTTTTAGGACAAAGCAGGTAATCACTGTCATCTATTGTAGTATTTAGCCATGCATCACCTCCATGCTATATTTATATGAAAATGAACTTATTGTACAGGATGTCACTAACGAGAATAAGATCCGTTTATTGATGATTTATGCGGCTATCTACCCAGAAAAGTTTGATGGTGATAATAGAGAAAAGTTGATGCAGGTGAGGTGGTTTACAATGATGTGCTCATCAAGCTTGGATATATCGGTAGTTCAGTTTGTTTCAGTCATAATACAAAACATCTTCTTTTTGGTCTTTTTTGTGATGTTCAGTCAATGTGCTTCTAATTAAACCAAATTCAATTAGTTGGCATAACACTATTGTTGAGGTTTATCTGGTTTTGTTAACTGATTTGATGTTTCTGTACTTTTCAATTATTCCTGAAACATTTATAAGGAAGATTTTTCATACAAGTCTGTCATTTTCTGTTAATGTCCAACATTTTAAATGTTACTTTTTTGCAATCGTCCTTATGTTGGTATCAACCATCACTTCTTGTTAAAGTACAACATTTTATTTGGTTTTCCTATTAATGCAGGCAGAATTTATAATTTTTGCCTGAACCTTTGTAAGCAGATCCTTTTGAGATTTAAAAATGCCATGGAATTCATATCTCAGTGCTTGTGCTCTCTAATAATTGATAAATGATTTTATTTAAGTTACAATTATGATGTATTGTTCTGGAGAAGTTTGTGGTTTCTTGTTTAATTTATCATGTTTATTCTATTTCACAGACTGGTTTATTTATTTGAGCAGACTATTTTCTAAATCCAGCAAAAGTTTTGGAAATTATTTTTCCAGGATATGTCAAAAAAATTTGGTGGATGGAATCTTTTTATGAACATTAAGTAAATCTGCAGTGATAAACCTTACGATCTCTGAGATTGATTTAAGTCTGCAGTGATAAACCTTATGATCAAGATTGATTTGGTAAATAATAAATGATTGATATGTATTAACTGCAAAATTGGCTTTTACGTTGACTGCTGTAATATGATTGTAGAATTACAATACTAATCTACAATTCATTTTTTATAATTTATTATTTATATTGTAGAAACTTACATTTTGATGCCATAATCCTTGGTATTTATAGGTGTGAATTGCCATACTAATCAACCACTCAATTTTCTTTTTGGCCTATGGTTTTGAACAGACATTTAAACCTAAGTTTGTATTTTAAACTTCAAATTTTCATTTTAAATATAGAAATGGCATTTCTTTTTCACCTAGGCGACATTTGATGCATCTTAAACAATTTTTTCTAGATCTCGTGTTCTGCAATTGTTATCCACTTTATTGCTCAAAGGAGTGTTTGACCAGTTTTTCTCCGTTCCTGGTGCATGCTAGGAGGGCATGACACCTCATTTTTAAAGGTCCTTTCTGAAAAACAAGATTTGTAAATCCAAAAAAATAAATAAATAAACCTCTTTGCTCTGTTGCTGGCATATATACTTACTAGCTGGTCCACTGAAGAATTTCAATTGGACTTGCCATACCCACCGATTTTTTTTTTTGATATTTCAGCTGGCGAAGCTATCTGCTGATGATATGAATGCCGTGCATAATATGAGTTGCTTGACATTACCGGAGAGCAAAAAAACATCCGGTGGCTTCTCACTCAAATTTGATGTTCATAAGGTGAGCAGCCTAGGTTTGAATTACTTTTGGGACCAGTTATGCATTTTTTTTATTCTATCTTTGGTTATTGATATCCTTATTTTCATGTTGTTGATTAATAGAGAAAACATGCAACCAGGAAAAACCGGAGTGATGTAGAAGAAACATGGCAACTATCAAGATTTTACCCAATTATTTTGGTATGAAGTGCCGTTATCCTCACAGATTTCTTTTTCTGTAGTTTGCATTCATGCCTTACAGTTAGCATGAAAATTCAAATATGCCTTAGATGCGGGGCATGATTTTGGAAGTCTTACGGTTCTGCACTTTTTGTTTTAGGGGCAGTTACATCCATACCCACCAAATTTCCTATGTATTTACATATCTAACACCTAAGCTCTGCTTATTAATTTTATGCCACCCAAATCTTTCATGTCATAAAAAAATACCATTATTTTAACTTCTAAAAAGTGAAATGCACTTTTTCATGTAAGATGGTATGTATGTTAAAACTGAAGTATAGGTGTTAGATATGTAAATACATAGGAATTGAGTGTTATCTATGTAAATCATCTATTTTTTTTTAAATATGGTATGCTTAAATATGTTGCATACAATATTAAATAATAGCAACAAAGGGTTGTGATATCGGAGTTAACCCAAATCACAATCAAACGACAAATATTATTGTTGAACTTTAAAGAAAGAACAAGACGACTCTTCGACAGAAACAACAAAAGAACCAGCAATCAGTAAGCAACGATGACGACTACAAAATAAGAGATGGGACAACAACTTAAAAGACATGAACAGCCCCCCTCTAGAGGAGGGCAGTGGATCCGAAGGGTAGAAAGGAAACTGCTGTAGGACTGGCTGGTGGCTGGGACGAGCCGGGACTGGTGCTAGAAGGTGGTGAACACGCAGGACAGCGGCGGAAAAGGGGTTCCTGCTGGACCGCAGCAAGTTGGCGGCCTACTGGAGTGGTAGGCAGGCTGGAGGACAGGTCCTGGGGTTGGATAGTAGGCTTGGGGAGGCGGGATAGCAGGTGGGAAGGGTGGACAGCACGTGGGAAGAAGGGGCAGCAAGCTGGCTCGCAGGCAGGCTCGACAGCAATCAAGGATGACCAGACATCCGCGGAAATGGTGGGACATCACCGGAAATGGTTAGACAGCAGGCTGAGATGGTTTATGGGTGGCGGCAGAGACGGTTGGGCAATGTTGGGAGTTTGGCGGGTGAGAATGAGGGTGGAGGGAGGCTGGACAAGAAAAGAGAAGAAGATACAACACCACCTCGGAGTAAGATACAACTAGAGCACCATCACCTTCTCGAATACAGCCCTAGAACTGGGGAAACACTCCACATAGGAATCTGAACACAGAATAATCACCAAAAACTGAATTCCCTAAGCCAAACACCCTCATATATATATAATAGGGATTATAACTTATATTAGGCAATGTTGTAAAATAAGAAAGAAATAAAAGGTGAATAATTATAAATAGACAATGCTTGTAAAATAAGAAAAAAGTTGGGAAGGCAAGAAATAGAAATAGGCAATGAGTTATAATAGGAGATTAGTGGGATTAGGAAAGAAAGAATATGGGGGAAAAAGAGCTGGACTGGTCCCAGATAGGCCGGTTTAGCCGGTCTCCTGAAGCAGCCCCGTGTCGTTGAGCAACCACATTCTTAAAAATGTTAAAAAATGGGGAATGAACGCAGGAAGGGCAATAGAACCTATCTCACCTCCAACCAAGTTTTAGAATAAGCTCATTTTTAATATATGTTCATTACTAATGCCAAACATGAAGATAAAATCTTTATCTTACATTGAGCATACAATTGATATCTACAAAGGTTTGCAGAATAACGGTGTACTTGCTAATGAATCATTCACCTACATGTATAATCTCAAGTTTGTTCTACTCAACTTAGTTCAATTAATTCAGGAATGATGATATTTTAAAACCTTAAAGATTTGAGGAGGGATTTTTTAGTCAGTAGCAAGTTAACATTCCTTGTTACTAGTTTAGCAGTTGTAAAATTACTTTTCACATGGAAGCTATTAGAGGCAAATCAGGTTTTGTGGATCAATCATGTAAATGGCCAACCAAGTTTGACAGCTGATTCTCTTCAATGCCAATAGCTATCTAACATGCTCCCTGATATATTTTTACAATAGGAACTCATAGAGAAGCTCAGCAAAGGTGATCTACCAAAGAATGAGTATCAGTGTATGAATGATCCAAGCCCTTCATTCCATGGAACCTCAAATGGTAGATCAGTTCGAGCAAATGACAGTCACCTCGCTCACTCTATGAGATCCAGGCGTACTGCCACATGGGCTAGGCCTCGTAGTTCCGATGATGGATATTGCAGGTAATTGCTTCCATAGATATAATTCTGTAACAGATTACTTTTTTGGGAAATTTGCACACATATCACACAATTCCTATCTATTAACATACCTATCACCTAAAATTTAATATTTACATTTATAACACTTTGGTGCCATAACCTATGAATGAAAAGATGTATTTCACTTTTTAAAAGTTAATAATAATGGTCTTTTTTATGTATGATTAAAGATTTGAGTGTTAGGTTTGTAAATATGAAATTTCAGTTGTTAGATATGTAAATGCATAAGAATAATGTGGTATGTATGTAAATACTCATGCTTTTTTTTTGTGTAGTACTTTCTTTATCCCATATTTCATGCCATTCTCTCAGTCAATAAATCTTTATTTTTTGCAGCGATTCTGTTCTTAAGCATGCCTCTAGTGATTTTAAAAGGATGGGCCAACGCATTTTTATTTTTATTATTGGCGGAGCCACCCGTTCTGAGGTGATTATTTACAATGTGCGGTCTTCAGCAGTTCTACAAATTTATTTTTATTCACATTGCTTAAAATGGCTTTTAACAGCTTCGTGTAGCTCATAAACTCACCTCAAAACTGAAGAGGGAAATTATTCTCGGATCAACTAGTCTTGATGATCCTGCACAGTTTATTACGGTGAGTTTAGGGTACCTTTGAATGAGACAATTTGTTTTTTGAGAAGTGGTAACTTCTTTTTCTTAAAATTATGACATTCTAAGTTACATACGAGCATCTATGTTAATGCAAAACTTCTTGTCCTCCTTGTCAAATTTCATTTGTCTCGACACCTTTTATTATGTCAAATGTATGCAATATATTGCGCCTTGTCTTTGTCTTTTGCATGCCCTGTTCTTATTTGCAATAGAATTGTAATGCCAAGATAAAATATTAAATTTTTTTTGCATTTAAGTCTCACTCGTTGGGATCATAATGGATCAGTTTATGTAGCAACAACAAGAACAACAACAAGCCTTTATCCCACTTAGTGGAGATCAGTTTGTGTAGCATTTGGGTTAAATATTTAGTATGTCTGTTGGAATAATCACTTTACTATGGGTTTACTTGAGTTTGAGTTGTCTTTTTGGGTTGGTAACAAAATAAATTGTCAACCTGTGAGCATTCTGGTCATTAGTTCTTTTCATTAATCAGTGATAGGTGCAATATATTTTTTCTTTAAATATTTCTTGTTGTTCCCAGTTATCTATTTAAATTAACAAGATGAAATTTAATTTATTAGGGATGATATGGCTAACTGTTTGACCTTCATTGATCTATAACTGCAGAAAGTGAAGCTGCTCTCTGCTGAGGAAATTTCTCTGGACGACATTCACATTTAATTCAGGCGTATCCGTTGTCTTTTAACTCCTGGAACTAGCAGATTGAGATTATATATTTCACAGTAGAAGCAATATTCATGATTATTTTGTATATCAGGGGGTTAGTAGTCTCCATGAGCAAGCACATTATCGAGGAATTCATCACTATTTTATGATGTAGATATTGGCTTCCATGACCTGAACCTGTAAATAGTACATACATGTACATGAACAATGACATCAAGTGTAAACTCATTGTCCAGTTACATAATTTAACAACATCTGCCTTTTTTATTACATTTTATTTTTCTGACTTAGTGCGAAAATATTTTTATCAGTTTCCCCCCAAACTTGTCATGCTTCTTACAATGAATTCGTACCGAAGCTTCTACCTTGTAAAGTTGCATATATTGTCTTGCGTTGTGGAGTTTAGTGATTGGTCATTATGACTCTAAGACTTAACCGATTGATGATATCTCCTGTTCGAAACTATGTGCAAATTTTATAAGTTCAACTTTTTTGAAGTGTTTTTTTGCTTATCAATTCTTATGGTTGAATGACCCTTTAAAAGTTTTAGCATGTTTTTTTTTTTTTGTTTTAAGTCGGAAGTCTATTTTAATTCCCTGTAATCATTGCATTTGAAATGTCTTTTTTTGTTGGCTATAGCTCCTAGCTTTTCTTCAGGCTTTTTTTCTTTCTTTTCCCTCTTTTTTTTTTTTTTTTTTTTTTTTTTTTTTTTTTTTTTCTTTTTTTTTTTTTTGTTTGGTAAAGTCGTAAACTTTTAGGGAAATTTGAGGACGTGGCACACAATTCTTATGTGTGTACGTATCCCACACCTTAACTTTCATATTTACTTGCATAGCACTTTGGAGCTTTAAACCTATGCATGAAAAGGTACATTCACTCTAAAAAGTGGTAATTGTGATATTAATGATTTTACTGTTATGTGTTTAAATATGATAATTTAGGTGTGAGAGATGTAAATTGCATCACACTCAAGTCTCTCTACTCTCTTAGAACTCACTAATACTTGTGTCATTTCTCTTTCACACAAAGAACTCACAGAAATCCAACACCAACTCGCAGAACTGCTTTGCACAATTCGCATGCACCTCCTGCAACAAAGAAAAATGAAACTTAAGCTCTTGAATTGCAAAAATTGGTTACAGGCACTTAGGCGCTATCCCCGGGAGCCAAGTTTCCATGCACCCTATTCTGGAATGCTATAAATGAGTCTTCTGGGTGCCTGAGTGCCCCTATTGGCAATGCGTTTTCGTTTGGGAACTTTTGGTCAGGCGCCTACTCTGGCACTAGGTTGCCGTTGCCAGGTGGAGTGCCTCCTGGGCACTGTGTTGATGTTGTTTCAATAATATGATGATGATCTTAGAGAAGTTTTTTAAATAATATTCTTTTTTTAGGTAGGTGGGGATATAAGCCTCATGTTTGTTCAAACTCTACTTAGTTTACCCTTATATTTCTGTTCACTTATATTGCTCATGATAAAATTGATATTATGTCAAATTTGTTTGAGCAAAA